TGATCATACATTGTTCTTGAAGAGAAATAACACTCTGGTGACCTTCTTGATTATTTATGTTGATGATATTGTGGTCACGGGTAATGACATTGAAGAGGCCAGGAAACTAAAAGGATTTCTCAATTCTGAATTTGAAATCAAAGACTTGGGAGACCTTCGGTATTTCTTGGGCATTGAAGTTGCTCGGTCTAAGGACGGTATTTTCATATCTCAACGCAAATATGTCTTTGATCTTCTTGCTAAAACTGGTAAACTTGGAGCTAAACCCATCTCCACTCCCATTGATCCTAATCATAAACTTTCTACCACAGATGGTGAACCTTTGTCTGATAAGGGAGTGTTTCAGAGACTGCTTAGGAAGTTGTTGTATCTTTGCACGACTTGGCCAGATATTTCCTATGCAGTAAGTGTTATTAGTCAGTTTATGCATTCGCCTAGAGATACTCATCTAGCTGTTGCGGAAAGGGTTTTGTGCTACTTGAAAGGTACTCCAGGGAAAGGTATTCTATTTACTAAGCATGGTTAGTAAAATCCAACTTCTCCACTTCTCTTCAAACCAAATCCTAGCTAACACCTCCTCTAGTAAACTCCACTCCACATGATCATAGGCCTTCTCTATATGAATTTTACACATGAAATTGAAGCTATGAGAATGAAATGAAATTGAAGAGATGCAAGTGAAAAATCCAACTTCTCCACTTCTCTTCAAACCTCATCCTAGCTAACACCTCCTCTAGTAAACTCCACTCCACATGATCATAGGCCTTCTCTATATGAATTTTACACATGAAATCCAAAACACTACTTCTAATTCTTGAGTCCACACATTTTCTTGCAATCAGCACCCCATTCAATATTTGTCTACCCTCCACATGCCATCTGAGTTGAACTAATAATTTCATGCATCACTAGCTTCAACTTTCAAGACAAAACTTCTGCAGTGATTTTATATGGGCTTGAAATCAAACAAATTGGGCAGAAATCCTTAATTCTTATCACTTCATGTTTCATGGGAATTAAAGAAATGAATAGCATTTGCTTGGACAGAATTTTACAAACCACATTGATTTGTAATATACTCTAAGAAGCCTTATAAAAGGCTATATTAAAACCATGCGTGCAGAGCCTATATTAAAACCATTTTACATACCTAATTCTTATCCCTAATTTCATGTATCATGTATTCTTTTAATATACTCTAAGAAACCTTATAAAAGGCTATATTAAAACCATTTGCGCCCAGAGCCTTATCACCCTTCATTCCCTTAACATCCCCCCCCCACCAAAAAAAAAAAAATCCTCTTCTTCAAACTTTCTTTCCAACCACTCCATAAAATCTTCATTTTTATTAAACTCCAACTCCCCCAAAAGACAGTTTCTGTTGTGAAGATTTATATAAATTCTTATAAAAGCCTCTAATCTCTTCAACTATCTATCTTTGATCATCCACCAATTTATCCCCCACTTTAATCTTATAATTCGGTCCCTTCTTCTTTCCTTTGTCATTATGTTAACTTGAATCTGATATCCTAAAAGGTTATTTAATGACCTATTCAATAAGCCCAAGTTCATCCTGTTTGGACATCTTTTGTGTTATAGACCAAACTATGAACAACATGCAGTTTCAATAGAACAGAGGAAAGACCATGGTCATTCAGATTCCTGTTGAGACAAGCAAAAGGTCTACCAACTGCTCATTTAGATGAATTCCTTGATCTGCAAATGAAAGGTTATTTTCCCATTCCAAGTACTGCTATTGATAAAAAAAACATGCAGTTTTTTGAAGAAATTTCTATTGTTAAAGTTATTTGCATCTTTAAATTAGAGTCTTATTAGTTCTGGGGCTTGTTTTGGTAGGAACTAGAAATTGGTTTAGAAATAGTTTTAATTTTTAATCATATCACGTTGGTAATTTTATGGGCAGCCTCCCATTCAAAAGGTTTAGATGGGGCAGGAGTTTCATGCCTTACCTCAGCAAGAAAGAGCCCAAACAAGGGTGCCAGCTGCACAGAAACTTCAAAGGTGGAAAGAAATGACCCATAGGCCATAGAGTCATCATCACCACCCATGCCTTAACCCAACTATATGGGATTGACTACATGAATCCTGTTTTGCCAATCTGTTCTATTTAAATCCATATCCACTGCTAAATAAATTACTAGTGCTTAAATCATTTCTTTCTACCACCCATGTCCGTTTTGGTCTACCCCTAGCTCTTCTAGCTCTTCAATGCGTAACAAACCACATTGAAAACATAGTCAATAGTCTTATCACTATCCCTTAAATTTTAGTGCTTAGAAATATATCTTCTAAAGCATTTATGACATTATTTTCTAATATCTGGTTATCTAATGTCTTTGCTCCATATTTCCAGGAACATGTGTGACTATATGTTCTGATTATCTAAATGTTTTTCTATTCTACAGGGAAGCAAAACAAGTTTTGGCCGCATGAAAGATACTGAAGAAGCTCTTCCTATTTATCAAAAGGGCAGTCCTGTTTCTTCCAGTTCTTTCACAAATCATACTCAAATGCCATCACAAACAATGGATACCATAAGCCTGAACAGCACCCAGGCATCAGAATATGAAGATGCTGAATCGGGTACATCTCTTATCTCTCTATTTCTACTTCAACATTCTTATATCATTTAATGGATGATGTAAGTATGCTTAGTGATCTAGGTTGGTCATAATTTACTTAATATGTTCACTATCAAAATCCTATGTTTCATTGCAAGTTTGCTGAAAATTGATATGGCAGATAATTACCAAGCAAGTTCCAGATACCACTCTTTTTTTGAGTCACAAGAATGTGAAGGCGGTGCTGTGATGAACAAGTTGGACACTGGCCTGTTGAACTCGTACTATCCAGTGGACTGTCAAAGTAAAAAAAGAAAAAAAAAACTTCCATTTATCTTCCCTCCTCCTCCTCCTCTTCTGGTGTATTTCTCATCTGTTACAGTCATATGGCATGACTTTTAACATGATAGTGTATTTGAAACTATTGCCAGATAATTATCAAGGAAAGAAACCAGCTGCTCCTGGACTGAATTTTGTCTTGCTTGCTCAAGAAAATATAGGTAGGGACCATAATGATGTTGGCTTTAGGCCAATGGCAGAACCCCAAAAACAGATTGACTTGGCATACTGGGAAAATGTCTTAGGAAATTGTAAAGCAGAATTTCAAGGTGCTGTTTTTCAACCATCAGTTTTTCCCTCACAATCTGTTACCATGGAGGTCATTGCCAAACAAGAAAATGTGATTCTCAGACAGCTTCCAACAGAAGAGTTTAAGCCAGAAATTGTGGGCCATGCAGATGGCCAAGAAAAATGGCAGGTAAATAATGTTCAGTATTAATGTAATATTGTAAGTCCTAAATCCTAGTGAAAGTCAATGTACCATAAGTAATATATCAGAGGAAAGGTTATCTTCTATTATGGGGAGACTAGTATTAGTAGACCTTCAAAGGTGTGAAGGTTTCTGGTGAGAAGAGGAGAAAGGGATATCATCTTCCGTCTCTCAACATAAACATTCAAAAATATTTAGAAAAATCATAGAGGGTTCCTAAGGGAAACGAAAATCTCAAGAAAAGACTAAAGATTTCATATTACAAAAGCACCATTACAACTAATTCATTTTCATTTCACCACATATTTGCTCCACAGGAAATATTGTTTTTACTAGTTTTAAAAAGTGTGTGATAAAAAAGACAAAATTGCAATCTGTTTGTTTTTCTTAATTGACACTATGTATTTTTACAATCTGTTTGTTTTCTTAATTGATAATGAAGGAGAATATATTATTAAAAGAAAAAAGGTATTAAAGTTGCAATCATTAAGTCCCCTGGAATAGGGAATTAGACTAAAAAATCCCTTTAAAAGAGGTCAGCAAGAACACTAAGTAGAGAAAATCTCCCATGAGCATGTTATCTACAAGGAAAAACTCTAGGGCATTTTTTTATTTTCTTTTTTTTATTGAGAGGCTAAAATATAGAATTTCATTAATCAAGAAAAACCCCTGAACAACTAGAGGCTGTACATTGGGAATATGCAAAAAAACTTCCAGGCAGAACTAAAAAACCAGCCCTTGATTGTTCACAAAAAGATTTTCATACACAAAAGATGAATTGTAGGTCATTCCTTTAAACAGTTAACTCCTCCCTACCCTTCCTGTACAATAATATCTGCCAAAGAATCAGTTGATTGAGATTCTTCTGAATGAGATGTAAAATTGTGTTAATATTCGACCAGATTACCTTCTGTAAACTTTCATTATATTGTATGCAACACTAGAGAGAAATTCTTCCTTTCCTCATAATCACTGATTCACTTTCTTTTGGGTTCTATTAAACTGGTGTGATCAGAATGCTTCTGAAGATAATTCTTCACACATATCCAAATGGCCTGTGGAGCAGAAGTTGCATGAGGATTCAGCATATGACCCCAAGGCCTTTCATTTGCATCTTGATCAGCAAGATGGACATCCTGTTCAAGATGACTTTCAAATACAGCCTTCTGGTGTGGGACTTGGCAGTGTTCTGAAATCAAATTCGGAGAGTGATCCAATTATGGTAGGGCATGCATACAATGCAAAACTGTCATTAGATTTCTCTCAAACAGAAGAAGGCTTGAAGAAACTTGACAGCTTCACCCGGTGGATGACCAAAGAACTTGGAGAAGTAGATGAATCTCATATGAAGTCCAGTTCTGGTGTTGACTGGAATTCTGTTGAAAGTGGAAATGGCGTTGAAAATTCTGGGATGTCCTCTCAAGTGCACTTGGATTCTTACTTATTGAGCCCTTCCATCTCCCAGGACCAGCTTTTCAGCATTATTGATTTCACACCAAACTGGGCCTACACCAACTCAGAAGCCAAGGTAATTGAATTTTCTTTTGATTGGTAACATCCTAGATTTTACTAAAAGAATTAATGAGTGATATAACACAAGAGGTAGTTGTGCTGTGCCATACACCCCAAAATACATTTAGGCTAGCTATAGCTGCCTAACCCCTAAGTTCTTCCACTTTAGCTTACATAAAGTCAAACTCTTGATTGATAGCCCACCAATACATCTGGTTTCTGGTCACACCTTGTCTTGCGAGTTATCAACTGATCTAAAGACCTATGTGAAGGTTGCCCTTAACTCCCTAGTTGCAATTTATCAACTGATCTAATTCCTTAGCTACTTGGATTTCTCATACTACACTCATCAAATTTTAACTTTAGAGTGTTGAAACACTTCTTGTCAAGGAGGATTCTTTTTTTTCACCTAATGAGCATACTTTACTAAAATGTTGTCAAGGAGGATTCTCTTAAATGTATATTTTAGCATGTCTATCTTCCCAAACTGTCCATAGAACCATGGCCCTGATGCATGTCCAAGTGAGGTTCACTATCTTTTCTGGAGGAGTGAACAGAGAATCCAAAAGGAGACTCTTTACTTCCCCTATTGGTGTCCACCTCCAACCAAATAGAGAGAAGAAAAGTTCTCAAATACCAGTGGTAAAAGGGCAAGGTATTACTAAATGGTACATACTCTCACATTTTGCCTTACATAGAAAGCAAAAATGCGGTGAGATGTACCAATTAGGTCTTCTCCTTTGAAGGACACTGCAAGTGTTAATGTTTAGGCAAACTAACTCTCAATAAAATGCTTTTATTTTTGCGGACAACTGGACCTTTCAATGCTACTTTCACTGGAAATTGGCCAAGGAAGGGGTGCCAAGTTATTTGAAATTAATCTTGCCATTTATTGAGTATTCCAAGTACTATTTTCGAGCTTTAGATACAATTGGTGTTCACCATTGCTTGGATAGCTATGGAGGTAATGGAATTGAAATTCTCAACTGCATTATGTTCTTTTTATTGAAGGAATGTATTATCTACACGTTTTAAACAGGTTCTAATTACTGGAAGATTCTTGAGGACTCATCAAAATGCAGCAAACTGCAAGTGGTCATGTATGTTTGGGGAGGTGGAAGTTCCAGCAGAGGTTTTAGCTGATGGTGTTCTCCGTTGCCATGCTCCACCACACACAGCTGGGAGGGTCCCTTTATATGTAACGTGCTCCAACAGGTTGGCTTGTAGTGAAGTGCGAGAATTTGAATACCGTGTCAGGCATAGACCTTACATGCCTGCTACAGATCCGTGTAGTGGCAGTACAAGTGAAATGGTTCTTCATGTACGTCTTGGAAAGATATTATCTCTGGGATCTTCCAGTCACCCAATCATTAGCAATGTTGGTGAGAGATCTCATCTAAGCAATAAAATCAGCTTATTAATGAAGGGAGATGATGATGAATGGCTCCATATGATAAAGCTTACCTCAGAGGAGGAGTTTTCCCCAGGTCAAGTAAAGGAGCAACTACTTCAAAAGCTATTGAAAGAAAAGTTGCATGCATGGCTTCTTCAAAAAGTAACTGAAGATGGAAAAGGCCCTAATGTATTAGACAGGGAAGGGCAAGGTGTGCTGCATTTAGCAGCTGCACTTGGTTATGACTGGGCCATAGCACCAACAGTAGCTGCAGGTGTCAGTATCAATTTCCGTGATGTGAATGGATGGACTGCACTTCACTGGGCAGCATATTGTGGCAGGTAGACATGATTCTTCTATTCTGTATGGTTTGGTTTTCTTACTAATAGTTTTGCATGTTCTATTCAATCTGTAGTATGTCATGACAATATGTATTTGTTTTTGGTGGTTTCTTCTTGCCTGAACTCTCTTTTATTCAGAGAACGCACAGTTGTTGCCCTTGTCACCCTTGGTGCAGCACCCGGAGCATTAACAGATCCAACTCCCAAATTTCCTTCAGGTAGAACCCCCGCCGACCTAGCTTCCAGCAATGGACACAAAGGGATTGCTGGTTACCTTGCAGAAGCTGCCTTGACCTCCCATCTTTCATCCATTACATTGAAGGATTCAAAGGATGGCAATGTCCTAGAAATACCTGGACTAGAAGCTATACAAACTGTTTCAGAAAGGAGTGCTGCTTCGGAATGTGATGGTGACCTGCCAGATGGGTTGTCACTTAAGGACTCACTAACTGCTGTCCGGAATGCAACTCAAGCTGCTGCACGTATACATCAAGTATTCAGGGTGCAGTCATTCCAAAGAAAGCAGTTAACTGAATACAGCAATGATAAATTCGGAATATCAGATGAGCATGCACTTTCACTCTTAGCTGTCAAGACACATCGAGCAGGACACCATGATGATCCTCTGCATTCTGCTGCAATACGAATACAGAACAAATTTCGTGGTTGGAAGGGGAGAAAAGAATTTTTGATAATTCGTCAAAGAATTGTTAAAATCCAGGTGCATTACTATTTAGTTCCATGGAAAAAAAAATTATATTTCATTTGCCCATGAGATTTACTTTCTTCTGTATTTATGACATTGTTGAGAAACCTTCCAGGAAGAAAAAAACATAATAATTTTGCTATTTTTCATTTTCTTTTGTATGATTTGTTTTTTAAAATTAGAAAAGAATTTACCAGAGAAGTTAAGGTCGTTCTTCTTCATAGTTGTTTTTTAAGTCCATTTTTTTGGGTTTCATAGTTCATTAACTTTCACATGTGGAAATAATTTCAAATCAAGTCAGACAGTTCACAAATTTTAACTTTCTTTATTTAATAGGCCCATGTGAGGGGGCACCAGGTGAGGAAGCGCTATAAGCGAATCATCTGGTCAGTAGGAATTGTAGAGAAAGTAATTCTTCGCTGGAGAAGGAAAGGGAGCGGTTTGCGTGGCTTCCGACCAGAAGCATCTATTGAGGGATCCAACACACAGAGTGGGTCGTCCAAAGAGGATGATTATGATTTCCTAAAAGAAGGTCGAAAGCAAACAGAGGAAAGATTGCAGAAAGCACTTGCTAGGGTGAAGTCCATGGTTCAGTATCCAGAAGCAAGAGATCAGTATCGTAGGCTGCTGAATGTTGTTACAGAATTTCAGGGAACAAAGGTACTTTGCTTTCTTAAGACTTTGCACTATACTTGTAGCAAAATCCTGTTCTTTTTGGAACAAGTTTTCCATTATTCAATGGATTGGAAATATGCACCATAAATAGGAAAAAAAAGTTGTCTATATTGAGGCATACACTATTTAAACAAGTAGTGCATTGAAGCTTTTTCAGGACTGGGTTCTAAACTTGAAGCTGGAAGTGAGAGCTTAACCCCATAATTTTCTATTCACTCTCAGAATTAAAGATTTTGCTCAGAGTAAGAAAAATATGATTTCTAAAACATCAACATTACTATTCATGATTGTCAATTGAAATATAGTGGTGTCAAAAAACAAACTGAAAATGCCTAATCTTTTTAGATAGTCTATTCTTAAAGCTGTGCTTGGTTTGAAAGAAAAGGAATCTTTCAAACCAAAACAGACTATATATACTGTTAGAATAGTTTACTTTACATTTATGTTTTTATTCTGCTTAGTTAGGGTCAGTTTGTTCTGTTTAAAATAGCTTTTTATCACTGTTTATGTACTGTAACTACAGCAGGGGCACAAGGGTCCTTTCCCTTTTCATTATGGTCACCCTATATATAATATTATAATCTGGCTCTGGTAGACTGAGTTCTGTTCGCCAAACAACTCTCTTCTCTTCTCCCTTCTCTCTTCTCTCTCTCTTTCCTTCTTGTTTCCTACTGTTCTTTCTCTGTTAAGATGGTATCAGAGCAGTTCTACTGGGTTTGAGAGCAGATTGAACAAGGTTTTTCCTCTTCATCTTGCTGTCTTCTCCAGACTGAGATAAAAAAAGCTGACCTACAACTGGGTACAAGTTTTCTATTTTTTTTTCTCTCTTATCTTGGTTGTGTACCAAGAGAAAACTCTATGAAGCAAGTCTGCTGAATGCTGTCAGAAAAATTGTGAGGTTCAGACCTCTTTTCTGTGGATTGTGTGATCCTGTACCTGGGAAGGGGATATCTGTAGGTCATGGATGACCTGTTATTTCCCAGTTTTGGTGTAATTACAATGTTATGAGGATCTCTCCTGGTGGTTAATGTGCTTAGATAATCTGGAAGATTGGTAGGCTGGAACTGTTAATTCTGTACAGGTCTGAAATCAATCTAAACATACCTTTTTTTGGAGAATTGGTGCTGGTCTGTGTTCAAATTGTGTCCAAACTGAAGTGTGTGCATGTGGATTGCTTCTCTGGTGTGTTTCTAGGACCTTTTTTTTGTGTCAGGAGGGATCCTAAGTTGTGTGTTGAAACTGAATAGTGAATTTAACCATGTCCTCTAAGAATTTGGCAACTTCTAGAGTTTTAGGAGGTCAAAACGGAATGAGTGGGGGGATGGATATGAGTTTCCCCATGGCTGTAATTCCCTTTGATGAACTAAACTACCTTGAGTGATCTAGGGGAATTAAACTCTATATTACTGCCAGGGAGAAAATATGGTATATTAATGATAAAGTGAATGAACCAAAGACTGGAAGTGCTAAACATGACAGGTGGAACCAAGAAAATAATATAGTGATGTCGTGGCTCTTGATTTCTATGCTGCCACAAGTAAGAACATTTATGTGGGCTGAAACATCTTGTGAAATATGGGAACAAGATAAATCTACCTATTCGAAGCAGAGGCACTATGCAAAGATATACCAATTGCAAGTTGAATCCTCCACTTGCAAGCAGGGGGAGAGAAATCTCTCAATGTACTACTCAGATCTGACATCAATCTGGAAGGAATTGGATCATTGTCAAAATGTAAATTGGAAGTGTGATGAAGATGCAAAGGCCTACAAGTCACTTGTCTCCCATCAACGAGTATTTGTTTTTCTTTTGGAGCTGAATCCTACATGAGTCTATTAGGGTACAAATCTTGGGAAGTAAGGATTTACCTTCAGTTCAGGAAGTTTATGCCTTGGTTCAATCTGAAGAGAGTAGAAGAAGTATGATGAATTGTGCAGAGGGGGAGACGGTTGCACTAGCAGTTCAAGGAGATACAAATTCAAATGTCGAAGGCTCTTTTAAGAAGGGTGACTCACAGAAGAGAGTGGATGACAAAGACAAGATTTGATGCACTCACTGTCAGAAGTTCAAGCACACTAGAGACCATGGTTTTAAAAGGCGACTAAGGCAAGGCGAGAGGCGCATGCCTCAAGGCAAGGCACCCAAATTTCGCCTAGCCTTGGTAGCCTCAGTCTCAGCTCAAGGGGCGTAAGCCTCAGTTTTAGTGAGTTGTAGGCCTTTGGCCTTTTGCCTCAATTTACATGAGGTGGTAGCCTCAAGTTAAAAGGGTTTTGGGTGGGGAAAACTTGATTTCATGATGGGTAATTTTGGAAAAAAATAAAAGAAAATGTGAAAGCCCCAAAAAATGTGGGTTTCCATCAACCAAAATTACTATTCCCCCTTTTTGGTTCAACCAAACTCAAGATTTCAAGAAGACTTCTCAGTTCTCACAAACCGAACTCAAGATTCAAGATCAAGAATATTGGAGGGAGGAAGACAAATTGAATCGTGCATACAGAGTATAGGTCCTCCTCCTCCTCCTTCTTCTTCTTCTTGAATCGTCAGTACTGTGTAGTGCATACAAGTCTTCTGCCGCCTCCTCCTCCTCCTTCTTCTCCTATATGAATCCAGATTCAATATTAAAATGCATTTCAATATTTCCTGAACTGAAATGCATACCAAAAATATATTGAATCTGGATCAATATTAATTTGTTATATTGTTAATTTGTTATTTACTTATTTATTAATTTGTTGTTTCAATGAACATGATAAGTGTTGTGATGATACATATTGCATACAATGAACATGATATTTTTATTTATTAATTTGACTACAGATTTGTTATTCTCATTTGAATGTTTCCTTATTTTTGTTGATTTATCCTTGGGTTATTTTCTATACAAATTTTGGCATGTTCAACTTGATTTGAACAATCAGTAATTGTTGAACAATACATTAAGTCACAAACAATTGTATAAACATCCAATTATTTTTTTTCATAATTTTTAAGTTTTTAATTTGAGGCTTATGCCTCGCCTCTTTAGCACCCAACCACCTTGCCTCTTTAGCACCCAACCACCTCGCCTCCGCCTTTAGCCTTTTAAAACCTTGCTAGAGATACATCCTAAATGGACTCAGGAATTGAATAAAAAATCAGCATTTGATCAGAGTAAGAAGTTAGCCCAATAGAATTAGAAGAAATATAACTCAGCAAATGTGGCATCTCAAGAGACTAGTCCCATGGTACCTCAAGAGCAGCACTCTGGTTCTAACCCCAAAGAAGATATTATCAACTCTGTTCTTGACTATATGGTAGGACACTTCTCTAGATGGATTATGGACCTACTCCTTCTACCTCCTTTGCGTCTACATCGGGTAATACTACCACTGCTTTCCATGTGTCATCTCATACATCTGATTCCCCCTGGATAATTGACTCTGGAGCCTCGTATCACATGACTAGTAAGTCAACATTATTTCAGGAATATAATCTCTTCTCTAGGAGAGACAAGGTGAGACTAGCTGATGGATCATTCTTCACCATAGCCGATCAAGTAACCATCTCCTTCCCTTTCGGTCTTACCCTCTTTAAAGTGTTGCATGTTCCTAAATTACCTATCAATTTACTTTCCATTAGTGGTATTACTCACTCCTTGAATTATTCAGTTACATTCTTTCCTTCTTCATCTGTGTTTCAGGATTTAGCCTTGGGAAAGACAATTGGTAGAGGAAGCATAGTGCATGGTATTTATGTGTTGGAGAATAAATCCAACCTTGTGGCTACAAAGTCCTTAAGTTCATCTAGTGAGAGTCATTCCTACTTATGGCATAGTTGTCTTGGTCATCTTTTTTTTGAGTCATTAAAATATCTGAATTTTCGTTTCAAATTGTTTATTCTGATGTATGGGGACATAGTACTTGCATACTATATCTTGATATGCTTACTTATGGCATAATTGTCTATTCATCAACCAGGTACACTCAACATACGACTCTCAACTCTTGGACTGAAGGACACACGACGATGTTTCCCAAACTGACATGACTCACATTGCAAAACTGACAAATGACTCAATGACGGAACCAAAATATTGAGAGCCTTGAGAGATGGATGTCCCAGTCGGCAATGCCATTGTAGAGGAGT